CATTTATGTCTCCTTTGTCAATACCGTACTCCTCGTCATACTCTGCTCCATTTGGGGTTCTTTTTTTTTTTTTTAAGAGTCAGTTAAAAGTATTTCTCTTGATAAATAAAATTAGTTGCCAGATACATGCAACTAACTTTCTGATTTTTTTTAAAAAAATGCCATTCTCTCCATCTGTTTCAGGTCAGGAACTGTGTGTCTAGATGTAATTAATCAAACTTGGACAGCTCTCTATGGTGAGTTTGGCCATGGAATATTTCTTGGAGATGTTGAGACACTGCCTTTTAGAAAAAAGTTGTTTGGTTTTTCTCCTGATTTAAGATGTTTTGATGGGGATGGGAAGGGATTTTGAGGAACTGGACGGGAAAGTTTGATCAGTGAAAAAAGTATTTTCTCTTTAGCATAAACCTCAGCTTAGCAGTGAAGTGTTAAAATAATTCTGTGAGATTCTGAACCTAAGATACAGAGACACACGAGGGGTTCTTCAAAAAACTTCATAGAAAATGTGTTTCATGGAAAACTATCCACAGATTTAAGATTATTTTTTTTGCACCCAAATAAGCTCATACTTTGATTCCATTTTTTAAAAAGAATTATCTAATACTATTATTTTAATTTGACCAGGGAGAGAAAGTAAAAAAGCAAACTGTCAAGTGTGGGACTTTAACTGTGGTTGGCCATGTGGGAGTCCAGGGTTCAACCACCACACCACTTGCCAACTCCTTGATTCCATTTTTTGTGAACTTTTGGAAGTCTCCTCATATGTATACAGACACAGAAATACATTTGCAGACATTATATATACGTGTGTATTTAGAAACGCATTGTGTATACATGGTTGTATCTGTCACCTTTTAGGAATGTCTTTCTGAAATGAAATGAATGATGTTATAAGAGGTTTTCTGTTGCATTGGCCACATCCTTCTTACAAAACAGAGTAATTTAACCTTATCTTCAGTGCTGAAAGTGACAACTCATCTCTTACACTGAATTTGCAAATGAATTGCCCAACTCTGCAAAATACTGTGCCGAATATTACAGAGAAAGAAATGAGGAGTATCAGGTCTTATCCTTGAGCTTGTTACCTGGTTGGGGAGCTGAAGATATGTTTAAGTTTATTTAAAGTTAAGTAGGGATACACCAGATCCATCTGTTTATTCCCCAACATGTTCAAGTTCTTAGGCTTCAAAGACTCTTCCTGTTCTGGTGCCCGCACCTCATGAGACTTCCTCTGATTCACCAGCTGGAAGTCATCTTTGCATATCCCAAAGTCTTAATAGCTATTTTTGATAGCCGCCTTTTCCTTTCTACCTTGGATTTGTTGTTTATGCCTGTGTATTTCATGCTGCTAGGTTATTTCCTACCTTAGCTAAGGCAGTCGAGTACAACTCTTAGCACAGTGCCCCTCACTGGCATGGATCGAAAGAATAAGTAATACAAGAAAGGTTGCTGAAAGACACAGAAAGGAGGGAGACGTTACTTTGGGCTGGGCTTGACCGAGGGGATGCCTTCCTCTTGTTAAGAATTACGAGACCGGGGAACCAGCAGTTAGCATAATGGCTATGTCGCTGGACTCCCATGTAGTCGACCGCGGTTCGCATCCCGGACCCAGTGGCTTAAAACTCACGCCGGGCGTGTGTGCGTACGTGCCCAAGATCCCGAGAGGAGAATGGAGGAGAAGGGATTGCGGCGTGACCATCCCCCCTGGGGGGTGATTTCTCGCTTTCTGTTTCTATGTCTCTCTCTGTCTGGCGAGCGCACGCGCCCTGTAGCAAAAAATTAAAAAAAAAAAAAAAAAAGAATTACGAGACCTGGCCAGCAGTTAGCATAATGGCTATGTTGCTGGACTCCCACGTAGTGGACTACGGTTCACGTCCCGGACCCCATGGCTTAAACTCACGCCGGGCGTGTGCATGCGTGCGTGCTCAAGATCCCAAGAAGAGAACAGAGGAGAAGGGATTGTGGCGTGGCCATCCTCCCTGGGGGGTGATTTCTTGCTTTCTGTCTCTCTGTCTCTGTCTGGTGAGCGCACGCACCCTATAGCAAAAACCTCTCCAAAAAAAGAAAAGGAAAAAAAAAAGAATTATGAGACCTGTGGGACCAGCAGGTGGCGTGGTGGTTAAGGCACTGGACACTCCCACATGGCCAACCATGGTTCAAGTCCTGGACCTGGTGGCTTGCTTTCTCACTGTCCTCTGTCTCTCTCTGTCTCTCTCTCTCTTATGTGTGTGTGCGTGCGTGTGTGTGTGTGTGTGTGTGTGTGTGTGTCTGGTCAAATTAAAATAAATGAATGAATAAAAAAATAAAAAAATAATTCTTAAAAAAAAAGAATTATGAGACCTGTTAGTGGTCTGAGGTAGGTAAGACATCTTAGTCCAGCCATGCCATAATCTGCAAGTCGCCTTTGCCAGACATCCTTGCACTAGGTTGGTGAATGAGAATCACAGGAAAGTTGGTCTCTAGTGGCGCCCAGTCAATCCTTTCTATTTCCTCTCCTGGTCTTTGTATGGCTGGCACCTTCTCTTCTCACCTCAAACATTACTTCCTCAGACAAACCTCCTTTCCTAGCCCTTTGTCTAAAATCACATCCCTCCATCGCACTGCATCCTGATTGGTTGGTTGATTGATTTTTAAGATTTTTGCTATAGGGTATGTGTGCTCACTGGAGAAACAGTGAGAAGGAAAGTAAGAAGTCACCCCCAGGGGGTATGACCTCTATTCTCCTTCTGTGATTTTGGACATGCACACACATGCGTCTGGTGGGAGTTTCAACCCACTGGATCCAGGATTCAGACTGAAATCAGCCATGTGGGAGTCCAGTGCCTTAAGCACCACGCCATCTACTGGCCCTGCACCCTGTTTTTAATAAGAGATTTGTTTTGTTTTGATTTTGATTTTTTAGTTTGCTATAGGGTGCATGCACTTGCTAGAGAGAGACAGAGAGGAAAAGTGAGAAGTCACCTCCCAGAGAGGATGACCACATTGCAATCCTTTCTCTTCCATTCTCCTCTCAGGATTTTGGGCATGCATACATACTCCCCAGCATGATTTGCAGGTCATCGAGTCTGGAACTTGAACCTTGAAATCAGCCATGTGGAATCCAGCACTTTCACCACCGTGCCACCCACTGGCCTGGGAGGTGATGACTTTTAAGCATATGAGGCAGTAAGAAAGAACATAAAACTCTGAGGTTGATTTAATGGGTAAATGGGTTCTTGGTTTTTTTTTTTTTTTTTTTTTTTTTTTTTCTTCTTGCAGGGGGAGCGTAAAAATGTCTCATGGCATCCTGCCTGGAATATCTGATGTAATGATGTGTTATCTTAAACTACACTCACATTTTAGAAGTATACATATCAAAATACTGCAAGCTGGTTCCAATTACAACAAAATAAATTAGACTTTCGTTTCACTAAAGCTCTTACTATTGAGCAGAAAAGCTTTATGAGAGAGGCTTTTCTCAAATACCTTACATCTCAGAACAGGTTTTTTAAACAGCTGTATTGAATTGTAATCCATAAACATAGAACTCACCCATTTAAATTGTGCAGTCCAGTCATTTTTAGTATACTCACAGTTACATGCAGCTATCACCATGGTCCATTTTAGAGCATTTTTATCACCAGAAAGAAACTTGTCCCTGTAGCTATTCCCTACCCATCGCCTGCCATCTCTAAGCAACCACTGGTCTGCTTTTTGTTTCTACAGATTTGTCTGTTTTGGACATTTCTTACTAATGGAGTTATATGATATGTGGCCTTTTATGACTGACTTTTTCACTTTGCGTAATGTTGTCAAGGTTCTTCCATGTGGTAGAACGCATCAGAATGTCCCTTCTCATTATCGCTGAGTGACATTCTATTGTGTAGATAGAACACATTTTAGTCATCAGATGGTGGGCATTTGGGTTATTTCCAAATGGCTGTTATGAATAAGGTATTTGGGCACAAGTTTGTCTTGTGTGTATGTGTTTTATTTCTCTTGGGTGGTACAGTAACTCTATGTTTAACCATTGGGGATCTGATAGACTATTCTTCAAAGTAACTGACCACTTTACATTCCCATCAGCAGTTATGAGGTTCAGAACAGTATAAAGCAGAAGGCCACATGACTAAGATTTCATCACAGAAGTTTTAGAATCAGAATGTCCTTGTATTAGCTTACAAAGCATTTAATAAGCAACACTAGTGAAAACAGAGTTCCATGTTACTTGCATGTGAATTCTAATATTCCATAAGAGTACACACAAAAAATACATACAGACTTGCAGGTAAGTTCAAGAAAGCACAAGGAGGTATTTTCAGAGTGTAGTCAAAAGTGTACCAAGCATAGGAAATTGTTTTGACATTTTGCTCAAAACACAAACTATTTCTCAAGAAAATTCAACATTTGGGACCAGCAGTTAGCATAATGGCTATGTCGCTGAACTCCCACATAGTTGACCGCGATTCGAGTTCCCAAACCCTTAAAATTACCCCGGGCACGTGTGTTTGCGTGCCCAAGATCCCAAGAGGAGAATGGAGGAGAAGGGATTGCGGTGTGACCATCCCCCCAGGGGGTGATTTCTCACTTTCTGTCTCTCTGTCTCTCTCTGCCTTCCTGGCGAGCGCACACACCCTATAGCAAATACCTCTCCAAAAAAAAGAAAAAGAAAATTCAGCATTTCTTTCATGGAAAGTTTTTGAATCAGGCAAACAGAATTTATATAAAAAGTACTGGTGGAAAGGGTTGGTTCAAATTACCTTGGAGGTAGTTTATTTTGTGTGTGTGTATGGCTTATCTGGTCTTGAGATCTGAAGTGAAGTTGTGTTATAAACTATGAAAGCTTTCTGGCGTGGCAAGTTAGTTCCTAACTGGTGAGTTCTGAATCACTCCGTTTCCTGCAGTGATTCTTAAGAGAATTTCAGTTCAAAGGACCAAAAAAAAAAAAATCTAATTTAATGCTAAACAACTAATAGAAAGTTGGCATGTGAACATAAATATTCAACTGAAAAGCAAAAGGTTTAGCCTGGCCCTAAAACTTGTTCCAACACTTACTTCTATATAATACAGTGTAGGAGCTGGGAGTTGCTTGTGAAATTTCCTGCAGCTCACTTTGCTCCAGGGCATGTACTGTCCGGTGGGTATACATACTTGTGCTGTAACAGTTCCCAGTCGAAATGTCAGATTTATACTTACCATAACCTGATACTAAACAATGTCCATATTAACAGTAAGTTTAGCCCTTTCTCCCCTCACC